ACTGAAATTATTACACATACTTTTTTGTGCTGAAGTTGTAAATAGCGTAATTAAATATTTGATTACAAATATTAACTGAACTTTTCTTTATTTGGAGAAAGGTTTATTGCATCAGAAAAATGGATCACACCATGACGGCCTATGCCTTCTTTCTAAATAACAAAGTTATGGGCAAAAGACTGGTGACACGGGAATTTCTAGCAGGATAATTAATGACACGAAACGGGCATATAAAAATTCGTGCCCCTGATTCATACATGCTCTTTCGCCGCTCTAGCTGTGAAACGCATCATCATACAGCTGGTCGCAGAAACTCTAATCTACAGCAATTCATTAACCTCGGAACATTCACGGACGTTCGTGGCGATATCAAGCACGGCTCCAAGCACGTCTGAATCGCATCACAAAAGCTTATTGACAGCACTCCATATGATCGTGGGGTGCGTGGCCGCGTGGACAGTTCAGCCGGCGCGTAATGCACTTGCCGGCGGCGTTCAATGACGATGCGCGAAATGTGCAACTACGAAGACAAAAAATCGGCACGCAATTGGCATTGCATTTTCGAATGACGGCGCGCGAAACTGCTAGCCGCTGTTTCGAGCGATCCTTGGCAGTGAAGGGGGGGGGGGGGGGGGGCGAGCTTGATTGTGTTGTCCGCTGCTCATGCGTAAAATGCCCGTACGTGATTCAGAGGAGCTAGCGAGTGATGTGGTACATTCCTTGCGAAGAAGCACGTCGCCAAGAGTGCGCTTGCGCGTCGTTCCTGCCCGCAGTCTCGCTGTCAGCGGAGTTAGGCCTAAAGCCGACTCCGATGATGCGCCGCACTCGTAGACCGCCGCGCGCCCGCTCGTAGTAATCTGATCGTGCATCCGGTGCGGCCACTCGTAGTAATCAGATCGTGCCACCGCTTATAGCTTTGTTGCTTGGGAAGAAGCACGTCGCTACGAATGCGCTAGCGCGTCGTTCCTACCCGCAGTCTCGCTGTCGGCGGAGTTAGGGCTAAAGACGACTCCGATGACGCGCGGCGCTCGTAGACCGCGCTCCCGCTCGTAGTAACTTGACCGCGCATCCGCTTACTGCTCGTAACTAAAGCGTAGTTATATCTTAAGTGATTATCAAGCCGTGAACACGTCACGAAGTGGCGATTTTCGAGAGCCATGTCCTCGCGACGCACAAGCAGCAGACGGCGATCTTCCGGAGTGAGCATCGGGCCAATGGCGAGGCGAACTGAGGCAACATGGTGGCCACGGCCAATCAAGGGCCTCAAAATGACCTTCATACATTTGCTTTTTGCTCGTTTGTTGTTAAAAGGAGGAGCCAGCTGAGGCGGGAAAGTTAAACACGGAGAAATGCTCTTTCCGATGAGCCCAAGAAGCCGGCTCCCGGCCCAAGCATCGTGAAGCTATAATTTTTTGAAAATCGCCGTTTTCTCGCCATTTCCAGAAAAAGTTTTGCTACCTAGGTGGGTGAAACGAATTTTCCGAAGCACTTCTGCGCGGTTTTCAGTGTAGATATTTTGGAACCAGATAGAAAAAGGGTTCCAGAAACTGGAAACTTGAGTTTCAAAAAATCGATTTTTTTGCCATTTTTCGCGATCCCAAAGTCGCATCCCCCCTTAACGGCTTTCATGCTACAAGACGTCCCCTAGTGTAGATAAAAGAAAGGCAAGACATACGAACGTAACTGTTATTTTCTTCAACTTATTTTGTGTTGAAATCTAAGAAAAATCGAACGTCGCTCACATTAAGCGTCTGGAGAAGCATCTGCTCATGTGCAGACGACTATTTCCGCGAGATCAGAGCTACTCTAGCAATTCGCTGAGCCACCATCTTGTTTGAACAGCAAGATAGCCTGCATCACATTTGTCTACAATGCCGTCTTCTCAAAGCTGCCTATTTTGCTGGCTACGTGAGAATTGAAATGAGAGATGGCCACCGTCCACTTAGCTGTCTGCTTAAACATCTACAGTGAGTATTGAAACACATCATATATTAGCGATTTCTGTCAGAAAGTTCCATAATGATTAAATGACTTGAAGCCAGAACAAGGCAATAAGAAATCGTTCACAGTGGGCAATTATCTATTGCACATAGTACTTGATTATTTGACTATCCAATCTACTGTATCAAACCAAGTAATGATCACACTTATAAAATGATTGAACTCTTTAATATCTTCATGATAATGCGATTATATTTTCCCCTGCATAATATTCACGCCCCCAACAAGATGCCACAGACAGCTGCAGTGGCAATAATCATGCCAAATTTTCCATCATTTTGAGTGGTGGCCACTGTTCCCCATGCAATGCCCCTCTAGACCTGCCTATGGAGTGGGATGCAACTTACACACCTGCCTAGGCTATTGAGTGTTCTCCAGCAGAACAACTGCACTGCTGTTAGGCATGAACTGGACACTGTTCTGAATCATTTCACTAACAGACACTGCATTTTGAAATGGGCATAAAAATCAAAAACTACAACTGCACAAAGATGTACACATGCAAGCGTCAGGCACACGTGCAAGGTTTGTGTTGTTACATGTGTGAATGACTTCATGAGGCAGGGCATTGCTGATGACATGGTCATGCAGTGCAGGATTGCACAAGTATTGATTCTTTTTATTTTTATTTTTACCTGCTTCGAGCGCAGCAGCTAACTTCATTCTTGTAATGAGAGTCATCCTTTTATCCTCATAAGATGAGCTGCTGACGCAATGTCATAGACTCAGAGCTGCTGGAGCAATCCCACATTACCATAGACTCTGAGCTGCTGAAGCAATGCTCGCTTCCTTGGATGAGCAGCCAATAATGAGCCTTTTTCACATACAGCCAGCTTACACTTCATGAATGACAGGAATGGTAGCGCCGCCCTTTCTAATTAAAGTCATATGCGCCAGTGGCAGCACTCTTAGTTCTGTAAGAAAGTTCTTGCTTTTTAACTTTACAACTTTACTATATAAGCATTAGAAATAAGCGTAATTTTTATTCTAGTTTCGCACCTCTTTGCCCCCCTCTCGAGTAGCCGCGGCTCCAGTAGTGTCTGCTTCATGCAACTCTGCCGTCCACTACAAAAGGTGGCTGACCCCTGACGTATAGGATGCAGTAATAGAAAAAAAAAGGCCCGCCAGACTTTTTCCCTTTTGCTTGCTCTTTCTTGGCAATCTGCTGCATCAACTTCTGCATGACAATTTCAAAGCTTGCCCATTCACAACAGTGTTGATTCTGCTTATCAAGAGTGAATGTGATTTGAAAAAAAAAAAAAATTCATTAATCTGTAGCCTAGGGCAATAAAACTTTAGCTGTACATATAGGCTCTCGTGATGATTCCAAATATGTTATTAGTTCCACAGTAAATTACACAGTTTTTGTGTTTTTTCTGTCCATGACTAAGTGTAAAGTATAGTTCATTTGGGACAACTTGTTATGCCACTAAACTTTTATGATTCTGACCCATTAATGGCTCATATTGCTCCAAACTAACTTCAGAATGAAAAGAAGTATTAAGAAAGCATGTATAAGACATTTCAATGGACAAGAAATATTGTAATGCGAGAATGCATAGGATCCTCAGCGCACAATAATTGTTCACTTTAGGGTCAAAATAATTATACTGGTGATATCAAGTTTTAAAGGAAATACTTGCACCCTTCATATGTTAAGCGATTTGTGGGCAAAATTGCATCTCAATCCAGCAACCATAAGTACTAAAAACATGATGTTCAAACTCAAAAGGTTTCCCAAGAATGGATCTTGAAAAAAACTCATCTTAAAGGTATATAAAGGCCCACCTATGCAGAAATTATGTTTTTCTTTAAGATGATTTCTCTCAACATTAGTGCTTGGTAATGATGAGTATTTTGAGACAGCATATATCTTTAGTTAATTCCTCATGCAAAATGCAATGGCAAGCAGCCAGGTGACAATTTCCAGGAGACTCAGCTCCTCTGTTCTGTTTGATTCTCTACTCCATCCCCCATTTTTTAAGCTGTATGTGCAAGACACACACTCACACTGACCTGACTGATGCTCACTATAAACCTATATTTTCATGTACAATGTAATGCCATAAAAAAAAAAAAAACTTGGGGCTCATGTTAATATTCCCAAGTTCTCGTTGTGCTTGAAGTTATCATACGAAGCTGAGAGACCATGAAATCTGTGTTAAATACCAAATGAGTCAACCAGTGTACATTGTACACTTGATAACAATTCTCCAACGACACACATTACATTTTGCAGATGAGCCATTGTCGTTACCCACCGGCTAATGCCCAACATAATTGTTGAAGACCTAGTTTTCAACATCTTCAAATGAATTCAAGTGTTACATACATCCATGCCGGTTTACAGTAGTTTTAACCCAAATATAGCTTCACTTTTTCCACTGAATATACAATGATAGTGATGACAGTGGTTCGATGCAGCAAAAAAGGATTCCTTGAAGGGTTCACCAAGTTAAGTGTACAGGTTGATTAACCAGCCACGTCTTAACCACGAATGAACTATAACACATTACTGTACATCCTGACAAAACAAATCACAGGAGCCAATATCGACACACACAAATAGCATGAGAATTCTTAACCAAGTCACACACTCACATTGAAAGAAAGCATAGACTCGTATCTGCCCTGCCACAACCACAGTGAGCCCCAAGCTGTGCTTCGGGTACTCACTGCTAGAGGCACCTTTCAATCACGAATAAAGATCCAATATAGTAGACATGCCAACTAATTTTATCTGGTGATTATTGTATAGAAGCCAACAAGAAAGCATCCCTGTGACAAGTAATAAAATATTTAGAACATTTTGTACATAAGTAGCTTTATGAAAAACAAACATATGGGGAACATATTCCCCAAATGTTCAGGTGTTCAGTGAATATATGTATGCATAATAAGCACAATTTTGTACTAGCCTCATGGTATAAACAAAAATCATTTTGACATCAATGCATGATAGCCCACTTAGTTACCACTGCCACTGAAATGTCACTAACCTTGAGCCATAGATGAATGTCATAGGCACACTTTGGTGCAGCTCTCCAATGCGACTAATCATAGGATGCCGGGCCCAACCATACTGTGTCATCATAGCCTTGAAAGCAGATTCTCCACTGCACATCCAAAAAGTAGCAAAAGAGCTAGTTAGAAAAGCCTCTCAAATATGAAAAATAGGATGTAACTAATTCCCTTCACGCACAGAATACCAAGGGATTATGCTGTTTCATTTTCTGCCGTGACGCAATCTTCTAACTTAAAACTGCAAGAAGTGAGGGATAACACATGCACAACTGCAATGACTACCAGAGCAGCCACGACAGCACTAGAACAAAGCTCAATTCCCAGAATGCAAGAACAACATGCTAAAGAATTCCTAGAATATGTGAACCACTGCTTATGCAGCTTGTTACACAAAGTATTTTCATAGCTGGAGCCTTTTCAAATTAGGCAACACCGTCACACATATTTACTCTCCAGTTTTGCTTTCCCAATGTTATATTAGCTGTACACCGAAAAGTACTTTGGTAGGCAGAAGTCATTAAAAAACAATAAAGATCTAATACAGTACGACTTTTAAAGCATTAAGCCACTGAACACTATCAACTTCTTTTATAAATTAACAGCATTTCATTAGAGCTAGCAGCAGTGCATGCTTGTGTACACATGTATGCATGTGGGTGGTTTAATATATAATAGTATAAATGTTGCTCCTTGCTGAGATTTACATGTGCTTAAGGGTGCTACAACGATTTCTCAAACTACTCTCAATTTATGATTGTATGTGACATTAGAGTGCTTAATATGATTAAGCTCATGAGAAAATGAAGCTCCTAAAGCTCATACAGTAAAAGCTCGTTAATTCATGCTTGAAGGTGACTCAACCTCTTTTACAAATTAACAGCATGTCATTAGAGCTAGCAGCACTTGTTTACACATGCATGCATGTGGATGATTTAATATATGAAAGTATATATGCTGGTACTTGCTGAGATTTACATGTCCTTAAGGGTGTTACAAGCATTTCTCAAAATACTCTGATTGATTGATATGTGGGGTTTAACGTCCCAAAACCACTATATGATTATGAGAGACGCCGTAGTGGAGGGCTCCGGAAATTTCGACCACCTGGGGTTCTTTAACGTGCACCCAAATCTGAGCACACGGGCCTACAACATTTCCGCCTCCATCGGAAATGCAGCCGCCGCAGCCGGGATTCGAACCCGCGCCCTGCAAGTCAGCAGCCGAGTACCTTAGCCACTAGACCACCGCGGCGGGGCGTTCTCAAAATACTCTCAATTTATGATTGTACGTAAAAGTAGAGTGGCTAATATGATTAAGCTCACGAGAAAACGAAGCTCCTAAAGCTCATACAGTAAAAGCTCGTTAATCCATGCTTGAAGGTGACTCAACCTCTTTTATAAATTAACAGCATGTCATTAGAGCTAGCAGCACTTGTTTACACATGCATGCATGTGGATGGTTTATTATATGAAAGTATAAATGTTGCTCCTTGCTGAGAGATTTACATGTCCTTAAGGGTGCTACAACCATTTCTCAAACTACTCTGAATTTATGATTTTACGTGAAAGTAGAGTGGCTAATATGATTAAGCTCACGAGTAAACGAAGCGCCTAAAGCTCATACAGCAAAAGTTTGTCAATTCACGCTTGAAGGTGACCATAAAATTGTTGTAATTAAGCAAAGTTTGAATTAGCGAGTTGGCTCTAAAATGTATGGACATCACAGTACACTGCATGGGGAGAACCCAAAGAAGGCAGGCATCTCTGGATGTAACCGGAACTGGCTGTAACAGTTAAATCACAACCTATAATGAAGTTGGTGATATTGGTACTTCACTTCCTTATATTGAACTTTCTCTATGTTGAAATCCAGTCTTTCATGAAAAACTATTTTCACACCAGAGAGGATGGAAAAAAAAAAGACCAATCAATATTGCAGCCTAGAGAAGCCAACTCGACCCCCCCCCACACACGCGCACACGCACGCACACGCACTCGCACACGCACACAAAAAAAACCTTCTGGAAGATTCTTTCTACCCAAAGGAAAATATAATGACAATTTGAAGGAAGCCATGACAATAAGGGCAATAATATGCAATGACTACAAAATCTTACCTAGGTGTTTGAGCATTGCAGTGGTATATGTAGTGTGGAACAGCCCGATTATCATCCACCACATGTCCATACTTCTTTCCAATATCTGGTCTAATCTTTTCTACTAACCGTGGACCTAGAGAGCAAAAAAAAAAAGTGCAGGCTTGCATTCAATGCAAACTTTCAGAGTTGGCTTCAGTGGCTATTCCAAATACTTCAACTAATATAAATGACAGCAAATGGGTGAGTTAGCTTGCACCCTTAATAGCAAAAACAACAGTGAAAACAGGCAGTGACACAAGAAAAAAAATGACCAAAACAAGTTTCACAATACTGGTCTCTACAAGTGTTCAATGGTTTTATATGTCTAATATAAACAACACATTTAGTAATTACTATCATGAAGCTTACAAAAACAACCTGCTAGATTTTTATTTTCTGCTTAATCGTTGTAATCATACATTATAATGACAACAAACAGGACTATGTTCGCCACGCTTGTTTTGCCTGTCATGTGAGGAGAAATGGACTCTGAGACGACCTAGTAAGACGCACAACGTCTATGATAAGTCACAGGAAAAAATACAGCAAACGCTGAGGTACAAAAGGTAAAATGCAGATACAAACTAAGCTTGGTTTAAAAAATTTCCAACAAGAGTTCAAGGAAGAGCGTTCAAAAAATTGCCCCCACCTCCCCAAAGGGAATCGTAAGGAAATGCGAGTGTCAGCCGATGAAGTCTATTCCACAATAGTGAATCTTCAGAACACTAGCCCTGGTAATGATAACATCTCTGCCTATCATTTAAAACTTGTTGATTGATCTGTCTCTGAAGCTTTGTACAATCTACTTGGTCTTTTAAACCCGTATAACTCCTTAATCTTTGGAAAAAGCTCAATTAATTCCAGTCTATAAAAAAAGATAAATCTCAAGCACATTCATACTTCATCTAAGAAAGTCACATCTTAGTCGAAAATACCTTTGTTATATCCGAAAATTTTATATGAAGATGTATTCCTGACACATCTATTGCAAGACTATTTTTCATTCACTTCGTTATAACCAAAGTTCATTATATCGAGGTTTTAGTGTATCTAATTATTGCCCTATCTCTATTCTGTCATCAATTATTAAGCTTATTGAAAAATTGTTTCTAACATGTTTACATAACTACCCCTCAAAGTGTAATTATAGTTGAATTCTTTCCTGTTTGGTTTTCCTACCGGGCCACTTGACCAGCTTCACTTTGATATAACCGATTTTATAAGAAGCTCTCATTATTATTGTGTCTAACAAAGAAAACAAGCCCTTACATTTGCACTTCCTTCCTTCAATCATGAGCTATTATAAGACCATTCCAGGTAACTCTGAAAAGTGTTGCAGGGTCCCTTTAAGAAAAGTGAAAGGAGCACTGACACAACATTCAAAGGTGAGATATACATGAGTAATACCTCATTAACTCAGTCTTACAGGAAAAATTTTGAAACGGATTTTCAAGATAAGCAAAGTTGTACTAACTGGTAGGTAAAATAGGCACTTATCAGAAAAGTCGCTACTACTTACTCGCTCTTCAGCGGCAGTTTCTAATCTTTTTTTTCTCGTGCTGGTTTAAAAAACAAAAAAATCACAAGAGACTTTGAACGGCTGGGTTTTGCCGCACTGCCATTTTATTTAGCAGAAAAAAATTGCCTAATGCTAGTCTGTTTTGCGATCATACTCGTGTCTAGAAAGGCATACTCCAAGCTGCTTGCTGTATCGCATCCCTCGATATTCCCACCACTGCACTCAGCTGGATTTCGAAGCCATACCATAAAAGCCGCTTTAATGTCTGGGAACTTCAACCCTCGAACCCACTTCCGCTTAGAGAAGCTCTGCTGAAATCCATCCAGCAGCTGCTGCTTTTTTTTTCAGCATCGTCGAAAGTGTAGATTTTTTTCAGCATCGTCGAAAGTGTAGATAAAGGTATGCCGAATTCCTGTACAATGCTCGATTTCATTCGGCCTCCTTTCTCCACTTCCTTAATTAGGGCAAACTTTTTTTCTAACGTTAGCGATTTGCACTGCTTTCACACCATGCTTGCCACACTCAGGCTTAGTTGCCATTCCTCACAGTCAGCGAAAAATCCGTACCACTCAGTTTGCACAGATGAACGGAAATAACACCTCAGGGAAAATCACGAGCACTGCACTCACAGTCAGCAAAATATTCGTACCCCATGGTTTGCACAGATGAACGGAAATCTCTGCTAAGGCAAAATCATTTGCACTGCACAAAGCGAACAAGACAAACTACGCCAAGTGTGGGCAGAGGGCCTCCCCGCTTCAGCGCATTTGTCGCATGACGTGCCACAGGGTTGCATGACAAAGTTTATATGTTGCTGGGCTGAGACTTCAAGCACTTCGTGTTCGCGGAAAGCCTCAACGTAGTGGCAGGTGCGGCTAAATAACGAAAAAAATTCGGTGGACTTCAGGCATGGCAGCATAGCGCAAATTATGTGAAAAGGTCTGGCAGCAGAATTTTCATTCTACTTCCAACAAAATTTCGAGTTATGCGCAATCCGACACAAAAATACTTTAAAACAAAAAAAAATATACATGGAACATATAGGAAAATGTTGGTGCCTTGGAAAATTTTGACTTACTGTATAAACCGGAATATAAGTAGAGATATTTTCAATAAAACAACGAGCTAAAGTCGCCCCTCGTCTTATATAGTGGTGTCTAGCCGACAGTGCACCGCTGTCTGGCAACATGTGGCTTGCATGTGCATGAGAAGCAGGACACGGCCATGTTCGCATTCAAATCCAATACAGTCGACTCCCGGTAATTCAAAGTCGCTTAATTGGAAGTTTTGGTTAATTAGAAATGAGCAAGTGGTCCCATCAGTTTTGCATGCAATCGTATAGAAAAAAATGCTCGATAATTCGAAGTTAAAAACCCATAATATTGGTTAATTAGAAGTTTTTTCAATCGACAGTCTCGTCGCGACCGTAATTCTACAGTAAAATGGGGAACTTTTCATATGCCAAAACATCTGCCGGACCGCCCTGGTGTCTTCGCTATCACTACTGTCCGCAGCGCCACAGATCTTGAAGCGGCAATCTTTTTAACGCTGGCGAATCGCATCGGCGGCATCGACTGACTCTTTAGTTGACTTTTGTCGAGACTCGAGTGTGTCACCGCGTCACCCGCGCGCTGGGTTGATTCCACACGTGTTTCCGCGCTTCTGATTTTGAGTGTTGTGGTGGTGACATACGTTTGATAATGGCAACTCGTGGCCCTTACGGAACGCTAGACCTAGCGACGAAAGTCGAAGTCTTGAAGGAAGTTGACCAGGGAGGCACCGCCAAACAAGACATTGCAAGAAAGTACGGCATTAAGCCTAACACGCTGTCGACTTTCATAAAGAATAAGCGCTCAATATTGGATGCGTATGAAAGTGAAAAATTCAAGACATCGCGGAAGCGGATGCACACCGGCGCCTACCCCGAGTTGGAGGAAGCACTGCTGATTTGGATCAGAGAGGCACGAAACAACAAACTTCCTCTCAGTGGTGAAGTCGTCACGGCAAAAGCGTCATCGCTTGCTGAAATGTTGGGCATCAACGACTTCGCTGCTTCGGATGGGTGGCTTACGCGTTTCAAACATCGCCACGACTTGATTTTTAAAAGCGTGTGTGGGGAGAAGGCGTCAGTCGATGAGGAAACGTGCCTGACATGGAAAGCGGGCAAGCTTCACGAGTACCTCGAAGAATACCAGCCGGCAGACATTTTTAATGCAGACGAGACTGCGCTTTTTTATCGGCTGCTACCGGACAAGACCCTGACATTTAAAGACGACGACTGTTCTGGAGGCAAAAGAAGCAAAGAGAGAGTGTCAGTGCTAGTCGCGGCGAACATGACTGGCTCAGAACGGTGTCGCCTGCTTGTGATCGGGAAGGCTGCCAAGCCTAGGTACTTTAAAGGCGTGAAGACGCTTCCTGTGGATTATGCCTCGAACAGAAAGGCGTGGATGACATCCGATATATTTAAGGACTGGATCACCAAACTCGACCGCAATTTCGCACAATCAAGCCGTAAGGTGTTGTTCCTTGTGGACCAATGTAGTGCCCACATGAACGTACCTGCCTTGAGTGCCATCCGTCTTGTGTACCTGCCTGCAAACACGACGTCCGTGTTGCAGCCCATGGACCAGGGCATAATAAAAAATGTGAAGGTATTGTATAGGCAGCATCTCGTCGAGCGCATGCTTTTGTGCATGGACAACTCGTCGCAATACGAGGTGAGTTTGCTTAGTACCATCAACATGCTAGCACGAACTTGGACCCGCGTGAAAGAAGAAACCATCGCCAATTGTTTCCGGGCCTGTCGTTTCATGGAAAACTCGGGGGATGCTTCTCCTTGTGCGCCAGAGGAAGTGCAAACAAATGAGCTCGACGACGGTAGCTTTCACGCCGCTCTCGGTGACGTCCGTTTTGACGAGTATGTCGCTGTGGACAGCAACGTTGAAACATGCGGTCCACTAACGGACAGCGAAATCGTGCAGATGGTTCGGCCCATGACTGCATTCCTGAAAATGACGATGATGACGACGACATCGGAAATGAGCCACCACCGAGGGCTGCCGATGTAGCTGCGGGTCTTGCTCTTGCGCAGCGGTTTTTTGTTGGAGAACACAACGCCGAAGAAGCACTTCGACACGTGTATTCCTTACAAAACTTGCTAGCCGCAGCCAGATTCGGCAAGCAGAAGAAGATGACAGACTATTTTTCCTCAAAACTGTCGCGCTTTTAAACTAATAAAAGTGCCGTTTTTAGTGCTTTTTGCTTAATTCGAAGTTCGTTTAATTCGAAGTTTTTTGCGGTTCTCGTGAACTTCGTATTAACTGGAGTCGACTGTAGCAGGTTATTTTTTTCTCTCTTGTCTGTTTTTGTGTTCGTGATTTGCCTCCAATCTGCTCGAAGTTCTCGCTCTGCTTGACATTGTGTTTCATTTTTAGTGGGTTTTTTTTCGTTCACTGAATATGAGTAGCGGTACGAGAAGGTAGTACTCAGCTGTGTTTAAACTAGAGGTTGTTGAGTTTGCAGAAGGGAATGAAAATATGGCTGCTCAGAGTCGCTTTGGTGTACAGTCGCCGACCGATTTTTCGGACCTGGCGGGGACCGAAAAAAAGTACGAAAAATCGAACAGTCCGAAAAATTCGTTTTCGCCAAAAATCTGAAGTTTATTGCATCAGGCAGGTTTAAAAAAGTCCTTGCTGCCTTGCCTCAAACTACGCTTGGAGGCAATTTGGTTTGCCCGTATTTGCGCCAAGGTGACATCGTCACCGTAAACGCTCGACAAAATTGTCACCGCGTTGGCGATCTCCGACGGCTGCGGGCGGTCGTCGTTGTCATCCGACGACAACGACGACCGCCATCCGACGTCGACCGTCATCCAGCGATATCTAGCTGCGAACGTCCACTCTCTATTAGCTTGATTATGGCAGCTTTCTTCTCCATCGTCAGGGTCGTATACTTCCCACGCTTCTTCACACCACCTGGCTCCCGCGATGGCACAAATAGCGGAGCCATGGCACCGAGAACACAAAATTCGATGCCGCAGATAGCCGCTGCGAAGCACACAACGTCTCGACGCTACGCGACACAACACGTGCAGAATGGCGACTGAAAAAAGCTGCAACGACAATAAAAGAATCCTTCTTTCGCCTCCTCCCCGTGCGATGTGATGACGATAGAGCTGACCGAAGACGAAAAAACGGCGTCCATCACCGCGTCTTTTAAAAAACAAACACGGCCTCCGAAACTTAAAACATGGCGTGCGCATTCTAATCTCGGAGGCAGGAAAGGCATCTGAAGACCAAGCTTAGTCAAGCCGACAGAAAATCCAACATGGCGGCGTTTACAATGGCTTGAAGCGTGGCACAAAACGAGCGATTTAGTCCGAAAAATCGAACTTTCAGGGGCAAATTCGCCCGAAAAATCGGTCGAAACAATGCATTAGCTCTATGGAATCGCTGACGGTGCATTTATGAAGTCCGGAATATCCAACAAGTCCGAATTTTTGGAGTCCGGAAAATCGGTCGGCGACTGTATTAGAAAAAAGCGTGCGCTATTGGCGGGTGCAGAGAGGAAGCTGCAGATGTGCAGTCCTTGGAAAATGTCATTTCGTGGGCAAAGTGTGGTTCATCCGCAGCTCGAGAATACGCTAGGGAACTTTGTGTGGGAAGTTCATGCGTGCTCACTGCCAGTGACCGTGGATACCATTCGCAAGAGAGCTGTGTAACTCGCTCGAGAAGCTGGGCTCACGAGAGACGATTTTCGTACACCAAACTCTTGGGTGCATCAGTTCATGAAATGCAAAGAATTTTCCTTCCGGTGGCGCACATCCATCTGTCAGAAGTTTTCAGACGAGTTCGAGGACAAGCTCATAAACTTTCAGAGCTTTGTGAACTGGCTTCGGGAGCAGAACGACTACATGGTGGGGCAGATTGACAATGCCGATGAGACCCCCGTGTGGTTTGACATGCCTTCATCGACCATGGTCATTCAGCGTGGCGCCAAGGATATGAAGCTGTTGTCCACTGGCAACGAGCACTCGCGCTTCACTGTCATGTTGGCATGCATGGCAGATGATAGAAAGCGTCTGCCCTTCATCATTTTCAAACGTAAGACAATGCCGAAGGAAGTGTTCCCGCCCGGTGTTGTCTTTCGCGTCAACAAAAAGGGATACATGGACGAGGCCATGATGCTCGAATGGATACGAGAAGTCTGGAACCGTCAGCCAGGTGCACTGCTACATTTTTGCAGCATGCTGGTGTTAGATGCGTTTTGTGGTCACTTAACTGATGCTTTGAAACGCGCACTGGGCAATGTAAAAATGGACCTCGCCGTGATACCAGGTGGTATGACGTCCACCCTCCAACCGATCGGCATTGTGCTAAACAAGCCGTTCAAGAACCGAGTGTGGCTGGAGTACAAAAAGTGGATGTCCGGCGACAACCCAAAGACACCGACGGGCCTACAGAGGCCTCCGCTTGCGACTGTTTGTGGCTGGGTGCTTTCCGCCTGGCGTTTCTTGCCAGATTCCATGGTGGAAAATGCTTTTAAGAAATATTCCATCAGCAACTCGCTCTATGGCACGGAAGACAACGCACTGTGGCAGGCGGCCAGCGACAAACTCATCATCAGAAGACAGTGATGCTTCGTCTGACGAATAGGAACAGTTGCGATGGTGGTTGAGGGGAGCTCCGACGATCGGGGTGCGGTGCGCCCAATTCGCAAATAAATGTCGTTCGGCAATTTTGGGTTGTTTTCCTTTTTTCTTTTTCGGTAACCTGAACTTGGGGGGTAGACCTATGTTCCCACTCGGCCTATAGTCCGGTTTATAGGGTAGTCAATTTTTCAAGGTATGCGAGTTCAAGTTAACATGATATTACTGTAATAAGCGAGATAGCTTTATATAGAGACATACAAGACATCGTGATGTAAAAAGAAAATATAGCCCACGACATATTGAAAATCAATTTTAATGTGCACGTCGCAGAACTAAGCAAGATTTGAAGCTCCTCGCAGTGCTGACATCAACGGAGGGGAAATGTAAACAAACCTAGGTTACGAGTTTGTCTTGGCTGGTTGCTGGCACGCGCCTTGACTTGAGACACCTTTGATTTCCTCCTCCGTGCCTGCGGCTTCACGTGTGCCGGCTGTGAGTGCGGCTATCGCGCGCGACAGCTACGTCACAGTTTTGCGTGGTCACGCAGCCAGTCCCGGAACTGCTCCTGCCTAGCTCGATGCTCTTTGAAACTGAGTCTGGGCGCTCTAAAAACGTCTCTAAATAAATAACTGTACTCATGCAAACGAGGCTTCCAGCCGTGATAAGTGCCTATTGTGACAAAGAAAAAAAAACTAAATGCAAAAGTATTGTGTCAGTGCTCATTGAAGCAAACAAACAAAATCTGGAATAGTCATATTGTCAGATATTTAGCGCAACCTTCACTCTCGCAAACACACAAACACTCACACAACCACCCGAGTAACACACGCGACACATGACACAAGGAATAGTCCTTTGCACCAGTGCTAATATCAGAGAACAATGTGAATTTCTTGATAACCCTTTTATGGGTTTCTCAAATATTTCTCAGCTTTCCCGCTAGGATCAAATGCATGCACAGTAAGGGTACAAGGAAAAAAGGAATCAGAGATGTCAAGAAATTGCTGACTAACCCCAAGGTCCTGCAATCCGTACAGCTGCCAATGGATTGAAAGGGCTAAGCAAGGTGGAGACCACACGGACCCAACTCGGCAGCTGCAGCGCCGGACGGGGAGTGTTGCGCGCAGGGAAACCCCATGGGTCCGCAAGCACAAGGTGGGCCACACGCTCAGGAAAGCGTATTGCATACGAGGCAGCCAGAAAGCCACCCATGCTGTGTCCCAGCAATACAAAGCGGTCGAGACCGACCTGTGCTCGCCATTCTTCAATGCCTACAGTGAGAAAAATGCTCAATTAAATAATTGCAATAAAATTAATGAAGATTACTATTTTTTAACAGTCATTATCATCACACATGCTCAGTACCACATCTTGCCTTAGTCAGCCAACTAGAAGATGCCTCAACTTCCACTGAAGAAAACATCGCACAACACAAGTCCTCCTGAGAACTCACTCAATCACAATGTAAAGTAAATGTCAAGGCACCTTTTAATTTATGAACTGCCCTATCCCTATGAACAAACGGAATGTTCCAAAAGCAAGCTGTCCTCAATGCACTTAAGTGCAAAATGTTGTTTTGGTTCACTTTTTTTTGCAGTTTCCGTATTTTTGTTCTTGTTAAATCTAGGGCACCGATATGCAACCATGGTGCTTGCTTTATCCTAGACCTCACAGACATCTGGCACAATGCTTAATTGTGGCTGACACAAGTAGAACCACTTCATGGCAACCGCATTCATGGACCTAAGGTTAATTACATGCGAATCCCCTTCTTGATTTGCCAGTGCGGCCCTCTGCTGTTTTTCAAAGGTTCCAATATGAGCTAGAAGACGTGATATTGCTAGAGTGAAGGCCCCAGAGACCAGGAGGCATTTCGCGACATTTCCACTAGAGAAAGGGCACACGTGCCGTGGAATCGTGAAAAAGGCGAATTGCTACAAGGGTCGGCTCTGATATTTTATAAAGGTTTTAATGCAAGAAGATGCTACTATGCTTAGCTAAACTCTTCATTAATTTGCTCAGGCTCATACATTACATTTCTTATATCTGAGACTACAAGTGCCTCGTTATCTTCTACTGAATGTATTGCTGAAATGTGTTGTGCTTGGAATACACTAGTTCTGCACCTGTCACTTGTATTTCGTTTCGATGAATCCCACCACATTAAAGGCACATAGCTATAAGCAGTCACTTAAACCAATAATGAATGTAAAGATAATTAAAACGCACATAGGCTGTACACAAGCTGTACACTACTAAGCGGTGCGCAATAACGTAACAAGAATAGCTACCAACTCGCCCAAGCAAATACCCTTATAGAAATACACTTCAGCACTTTCATTATTAAGCGTGAAGTCTGAACCAGCTTCAGGAAAATAATTTTCTTTTTTTTTTTTTTTTCAGAAGTTGCACTCTTACTCTGCACAAACTGGTATTCAGCCTCCAAAGAATCCCTTGAAAGACGTGGTCGTGAACTGCGGCCAAAGCCCAGCAAATCAAAACAGTATGTCGTGCGGTCTTGGGCAAGGTAATCCAGGTTGAGCAGCCACAGAGCCACTCCTGCACCAAAGCCATGCACCAGCACAAGTGGCACACGCTCCTCCTCTACAGCTTCTTTGGTGCCAGGGCCAAGTTGGAGGGTACTTATTTGGTGGTTGCCCTTGCAGCCCAGGATCGAGTCTATCGTGATGTATGTTGATCGAATGGGCAGCTTCACATCTTCGAAAAACAACAAACCCATACACAATAAAATGAGTGTCACTGTCAGTCTGGGACTTTTCTTTTTTACAAGACCTATTTCACAATGATGGCACGATTCTAAGAAAAATGGGTGATGACACGAGCGTTGGCATACTTATTGTATTACGTCTTCAGAGTTTTTATGACATCAAAAGCACTTGGCTTCAATAAAATCTCTGCACAACAGCTCACAACACATCATCATAGAACTTATGGTGTAGTTCATACAAAAACACACCAAGACGACACCAGCATCACCTCTAGAACCTGTTATTTTACTTTTTTGAATGAAATTCCAATCCCTATAAGGCCTAGAACCACAGTTGTAAGTCAGGAATCGCAGGCCCATAATTTACAGAGAATAACTGTTTCTAACAACAACTTTTGGCTGCCCAAAGATCAATATACCATTACATCTTAATAATTAGTTTGCCCCACTACTGAGACCGCTGCAGCTGCTGCATGTGATTACAAGAAATATGTACAGCACTCATTTATTAGTACTACTAAGCATATCCTATAGCCTGTGCATTTTGAGCTATGCGGCAATCATCTTTTTTTTTTATAGTTCATATCGCTGATACAAGAACTTAAGAAAAAAATGCAATTAATGAAAAACGCAACACGAAGTAATTGCAAAATTAGGAGTCATCAGTCACTGTATGTTGATGCAGCTAAAACAAAGAAGATATTTAAAAAAAGATAAATAAATATTCAGAACTGTCTGCAGCTGTGCATACATACATGCATGCCTCAAATACCTCATTGTATTTCCAAATGAAAACATGCGTCGTAATTGTTCTCAACAGTTTTTATTTGGGGTGCAGTAAACTTGAAAAGTGGCCAAAAAAATCTGTTTTGCTGCAAGGACAAAACTATAAATGTGATACGAAAAAACTTGAAATTATGCAATTAAGGCCAACAGCTAGCTCCTTAGCATCCGATCTGGCTCTATCATATTGAGGCATGCCACCATTGATGAACGAGCCACTGTGGCTCATACTTGTTTTGGGCTGAGGAGAAGAGAACATTTTCGTTGTTTTGGTTTAGGTGAATTCTTGGCTGTAGGTCTTGTTTTGCTCATGACATTATTGGTGGAGACGCTGGGTACGTGTACTTCGGCTGTGTTGGCCATCTTGGAGACAGCTACATCTCCCAGAGCAAGAAACAGCCGCCGCCTGCGTGGGTTACCCCCCTAATTTGGTCTCTTGGCATCGACACCCAGAAAGATGGCAACCCCGATGACAAGCCAAGTGGTGCAAACCAGCGATGCCCATGGTTCTCTTCTTGCGCATGTTTTTCATGAGCCACAGACGCCAAAGCCGTTCCGTGGAGACATTTTCGAGGATGTTGATGACTGGCTCGACAACATTGATCGGGTTGCCAGTATCAACGAATAGGACGATGTTCGCAAGCTGCACAAAGTTCGCAAGCTGCACAAGTTCGACTATTCAGCACCGCCAGTCGAGATCACCATCGCCTCGCCGGTCTAAGTCACCCAGTTCCGCAGGGGAAACTAGGAATGGCGACTTCTGGGAATGAAGTCGCGGTCCGGCAAACTGTAAAAGACTCTCCTTCGACGCAACAACCCTACAAGGACTATTCCGACTTTGCAGTGTTCTCCAACGACAGAAAGATCGTTTCTGCCGAAATCGCCGTCTTCATCGACAATCATGCTATCAACGTTCTCGTCGACACCGGCGCCGACTATTTCGTAATGAGCGCCACACTAGCATCTGAACTCAAGAAGGTTACCACACCGTGGCAAGGACCCCAGTTGCGCACGGCAGGTGGCCATCTGGTGATGCCTACTGGTATACGCACGGCACGCCTTTGAATACGTATGTCGACATTTGCCAGCTCTTTTCTCGTATTGCGCGTGTGCTCTCGGCCGGTCATTCAAGGAATGAACTTGAACAGCAGTGTCACTGCTGTTCAAGAAAATAACGGTTTTACACCTTTTCGCTTAGTCCACGGTCTCGAGGTCACGCCGATGCTCAACCCCATGCTCCTGCCCGACAACATAGAAATATACCACAATAACGGTTTCACACCTTTTCGATTAGTCCACGGTCCCGAGGTCACGCCGATGCTCAACCCCATGCTCCTGCCCGACAACATAGAAATATACCACAATAACGGTTTCACACCTTTTGGATTAGTCCACGGTCCCGAGGTCACGCCGATGCTCAACCCCATGCTCCTGCCCGACAACATAGAAATATACCACAAAGATGCCGCCAAATTTGCACAGTGCGCAGAAAAAGCCCATCAACTTGCTCGTCACCGTATTCAATATCACCAAACCGCAGACGCGCGCCGCTACGATCTTTGTCACCGTGAAGTTATTTTCAAGCCTGGTGATGAAGTCTGGGTGTGGACCCCTATCTGATAGCGTGGCCGTTCAGAAAAGCTTCTTCGCCGCTACTTCGGCCCTTACAAGGTCGTATGACGTCTCAGCGACGTTAGTTACGAGGTTCTCCCAGAAGACACTTCGAGACGTTCCGGTCGCCCTCCGCAAACTGAAGTAATTCACGTTTCACGGCTCAAACCATACCTTTTCACGCTGTGAATTACCAGTGCAGTGACTGACATTATTAGTAACTTCGCGTTTCTTTTTGTCTCATTTTTTTTTCTTACCTTCTTTCCTATTTTTCTTATTTCTCATTTGACTTTTGACTCCATAACCGACTACGTTTTTCTGCCTTACGCCATTCATTTTTCTTGCATAGTAATTTTTGTCTCGTTTTCTTTTTTTTTTTTTGCCTTCATGTACAGCATCGAGACGATGCTTCTTGGGAGAGGGGGTATAATGATGCATGCCACCATTGATGAACGAGCCGCTGTGGCTCATACTCTTTTTGGGCTGAGATAACAAAGAGAACATTTTCGTTGCTCTGGTTCAGGTAAACTCCTGGCTGTAGGTCTTGTTTTGCTTGTTACAATATCGTGGTATGGGCCAGGAAGCATATTCTTGCTCCGTGGTACGGGCACATGAAACCTAGGCAATTCATTTATTAAGAAAGAGTGCTTCAAACGTGCACGAAAAGAAAAAGCACTTATGGCCTCGCCTCAGTTCAGAGTACCTATGCCTTGAACTTTGCATCGCCACCTATGTCAATGAGCGCGTTACAGGTACAATGCGATGTTTTCTATGCGGTAGACAGGTTGCTGATGTTAGTGGAGCACTAGCTATGCAAGTATGCACAGCAGATAGTAGGCAAAAAATTAACTGCGTAGTTTTGTTTGCCCGGGGTGCATGCCGTCTGTTAGCACTGTCTTTTCTGAGACTGGTTCATCCGTTAAACATCCTAAGTACATAAACACATGCTGCGAGCAGTACTGTAATCATTGCTGTCTACATCTCTGTGCTTGCAACAATTTTTTTTTATGTTAGCTCGCCTCATAAAGCACTTTAAAAGGTAATTGTCCCTTAAGGCATATTCTCGGTGAATTTTCAAGCACATCGGTATGTCTTTACCTACTATTTAAGTATCATATACAGTCGAACCCCTTTATAAATAAGAGACACTAATATAAAAGACAAATGGGTAACAAACACCAGTGTGCCTACAGTAAAATACAGGTAGATAAGGAAGTGCATACAAGGTACCCTATTTATTTATAAGACATATCTCAGATAAAAGACAAGACTTGCTGCCCGGAGCATGCCTCTTATAAAGTGGTTCAACTGTGTTTCTTTTATGCAATGATAATTTCTTAGTATGAAGGAGCTTTAAGAGTTTCATATTTTTGTGTTAACTATGAAGCTATCAAGTGAAGAGGAAATGTGCACGTCATGGGCCCTCTCTTCTCCATTTTTCGTCATTTCTTGTCAACAGTTCGGAGCCTCTCACGCAAAATTTACAGTTTGCACTTGACAGTTCTTTAGTTCCTTTCGCGACCAGCAATTGTCCTTTCACTGTAGCGAGTATTGATGCCAAATGTATAGGCTTCTATTACTAAGATATTCTTGCACTCGTTTACTTCCAGTGCAGTAGTTTACTTGACATCACCGCATATTTTCCCAACTTCTTACATTTTCCATATTGTATAATCTGAAATGCCGAAGTTCAAGACTAGCACTATTCTTAAAAACGTATGCGTGGAGGCGGCCAAACTGGTTCCAAATTTACTTCAATGCCAGTGCTGTCAGAACAATTTTATGCTCCTAATGATTCTAGTCATGATAGTGACTGACATTAATAATTCTTGCGGTTTAACATCCTGAAACTAACATATGATCATGACAGACGCCGTAGTGGAGGGCTCTGGAAATTTCGACCACATAAGGTTCTTTAACGTGCACCTAAATTTACGCACACGGGCCTCAAGAATTTTCGCCTCCATCGGAAATGCAGCTACCACGGCCAAGATTCGATTCCGTGACCTGCAGGTCAGCCGAGTGCCTTGTGATAGTGACTCGGAACACCAGTGCAATTGCAATGGCACCTCTTATGAAACAACTTCACCTAGTCACAAATGCAGACTCGACTTTTGACTGAGCGTTGGCTGCCCTGCATCTCATGTCGGAACACAGTTAATCATTTTATAACCACTATTTTGGCATGCTTTTGCTGAACTATATGTTGCACATGATGATTTTCATCTTTTAAGTAATGCCATTTTGCAAATTATTGCTTCCTGAACTAGTGTCTTGACAATGTCACTAGAGAACTTGTCAAGTACAATATTTTTTAAATCAATGAAATCATTTGCTATTACTCATTTCAGCCATAATTCTTACACAATCCATGTTGAACCTTGTAAACTTTGTGCTTCATAAATTTAACAACTTCCTGAAATTATTAAGGATGTGACTAGAGAGCAGCATAAAAATGTTTTATTGTATGCCATCAACCTGTAATAATTCTGCACACATGTACACAAACATGATTCTCCTATCAATGAGGGCACAGCATTCCCTTCTGTAATCACAATGCCAATAATTTACTGAAGAGCTACGTATACTCATGTCCTACTGCAGCAGCCAGCACTCCCACCAGAAAGTAGACTATTATTGTGGATAGTGTCACTGCTTCTTGTGTAGCATGATACCATTGGCACAAACTGATTGCATCACATGTTTTGCTTTTACTGCCAAAAAGCAGCCAGTGCATTATTTGAATCTGAACACCAATAAAATTGTTGCACTAGAGGAACGTGTCGCAATGGTGCTAGCAAGCCACTAAGCAACAGTGGCACATGGCATGGGACTGCATAATGGTACCAGAAGCTTTGGGAAAAAATTTCTGACACAGTAGCACTAGCAGTACCCTACTTCTATAAGGAGAAGACATGGCACGAACTCTACATGCCATGCGCTGATGCGTTGTAACCCATACATTTGGCTGGTGCTTATAAAAACAGACACACACAAACACTGAATGACTATTGCTTTTATTTCTTTCAGACATCTGATTAAAAATAAAAAAAAAATATTACATAGCAAATACATGTGACAGGGTGTCATTTGGTTACACCATTCAAAAATTGCACTCTCTTATCAGAGGTCTGGCTAATAGAGGTCTAGCAGATGCATGCACTTTACTCCATATGCATAAACAAAAAGAAGAAAATCATAGGCAAATTATAACCAAAATGTAACAACCACATAAATCATGATATTGTAGAAAAAGCTCACCATGTGTGTGTGTGTGTGTGTGTGTGTGTGTGTGTGTGTGTGGTGTGTGTGTGTGTGTGTGTGTGTGTGTGTGTGTGTGTGTGTGTGTGTGTGTGTGTGTGTGTGTGTGTGTGTGTGTGTGTGGTGTGTGTGTGTGTGTGTGTGTGTGGTGTGTGTGTGTGTGTGTGTGTGTGTGTGTGTGTGTGTGTGTGTGTGTGTGTGTGTGTGTGTGTGTGTGTGTGTGTGTGTGTGTGTGTGTGTGTGTGTGTGTGTGTGTGTGTGTGTGTGTGTGTGTGTGTGTGTGTGTGTGTGTGTGTGTGTGTGGTGTGTGTGTGGTGTGTGTGTGTGTGTGTGTGTGTGTGTGTGTGTGTGTGTGTGTGTGTGTGTGTGTGTGTGTGTGTGTGTGTGTGTGTGTGTGTGTGTGTGTGTGTGTGTGTGTGTGTGTGTGTGTGTGTGTGTGTGTGTGTGTGTGTGTGTGTGTGTGTGTGTGTGTGTGTGTGTGTGTGTGTGTGTGTGTGTGTGTGTGTGTGTGTGTGTGTGTGTGTGTGTGTGTGTGTGTGTGTGTGTGTGTGTGTGTGTGTCCACATCAGCCAGACTTTGCATGATAAAGAAGCGCAATTTCAGAATGGCATAACCAAATGACACTCTGTCACAATAAATACGTGCCACACGGTCTTAGTGTAGTTTGTTTTTACCCAGTTGTGTAAAAGAAATAAAACCAATTTGCAGACAGTGCTCGTTTGCATCCGTTTTTTTAAACCACTATATGTTCTATGAAACCCTACAAGCCTAAAGATAACGTCTATTAATGTCACTTACATTTGCCTGCAACATCCTATCAGTGCTGCTATAACATGATGCAGACGAGATTCTGATTATGAATGGTATTGTTTTAAATGCTGGCTGGAGATAAGTGTAGGTATCTTTAGGATGTGTGGGCAGTTCAAAACAACACATTCTATGGACACCTACAGAACATAAATGGTTTACTTGGATATACTGTTCTCAGCAACACGGGATTTTCTTTTATATACTTAAAACTAAGGTCTCTAATGCACCAATTCTGCATTTGTTGAACCAACTTTTTTTTCTTGAATCTATACTTTAATCTTCATCTTTATTACCACTGTGAAAAAAACCAAATCTTTAAGCCAGTGCTGGCCATTATTAAACAGTGACTATGACCTCAACATCTGGATTTTTCCTGAAAGCACTCAAACAGTGCTACTTGATCGAATTTAACATCACAGATGGGCCTTACAGAAATGTGGCACACCCTATGGGTGGAGAGCAAAAAACTATTGCAAATGCAACAACAAGAACATGACATCAAGGCTACTGATTAAATTGATTAGGCCAATTGCACATCACGATTTGCTAAACTTTATTTTCCACAGCTATCCACCTTGTTTTCAACGTATGCAATAAAGGAAGAGTGATATGGTATTATGTGTCATATCCGAGTATGCCAGTATGACATGCTCCTAGCCTTGTCCAAGTTAATCTGTGAAAATGAAAAATTTTTAGACTGAATTCACTGCAAACTAGGTTCGATTATATTTTTACACAAGTGACGACATGGCAAAGTTTAAAACTAGATTTCAAACACGTGACTCGTGAAACTTTGCTAGCCACCTGGTCCATAAATGAATGTCCTCCTCCAAAATATTTTTCTTTTCTAAATAAATATGTCCATGAACTCCACGGACATTACTGGTCAAGCACTTTAGTGATGCGCATCAGCAGACCACCACATTTAAAAACATAACTGTGAAACAAAAAAACTATTCTAGAATGGTGCTTAGATTTCAGCCATCCTGGATAGATATCAATACTGGTATGTTTTGGCAAAACCTAACCAGATGACAAACACCTTCAGAAATAGCTAATATTTGAGGTGTGGGAAAGACCTTTCAAATGATGTTAGCTGACAACGTCCAAGGGAACCTTGGTTATTTCTCTTCCAGAATTTTCTTTTTTACTGTCTCAGTCCTCGCAGGACTAAATTTCATGATTGTGACCCACTAGCTGAGGTAAGTTTAAGACGCCCATTTCAGAAAATTTGTGGTTCATTTTTATTTCATTTTATTTTCCTTTGCCAATGTTTTCACAAGGAAACTTGTCTTCATTTAGGGGCTGAAGATAAGATTCCTTTTGCCCAAATATTATCTCCAGCACCATTCTTTGTTCAATGTCTTCTGATATCAATACTTTAACACCCGAATTCAGAAAAATTTGGTGTTCCTTATCCGTCTAAACTGATTTAGTATTTTACTTTAGGGTCCTTTGAAAAGAAAATTGTTACAAAGGCACAGGAGAATTAACTAACTTACAGGACAACAACTTTCGCTCAGCATCTTCAAGGTGCTCAGATGAAGTGGGGCACCATCGGATGTAACTAGAGATCCAACTGGGAACAAGGTCAATCAAGCTGCTCAACAAGGTGTCCGCCAGCAGGCATGTGTGTTTCAGCAGTCGCAACCTGTGCACCCCATGCACACAAGCTGTCGTCACACATACAAACATGCAAACACTACATGCACATATAATGCCCCTATTTTGTAGAACTCAACCAAAGTATTATCATTGAAAAACACCTTGCAATGTCGACAATGGTGCCAATGATACACAGCCAAAACTAAAATGGAAATTAATGGAACATTGGCCACAGAAGAGGCAATGTGAAATAATTGGGCTTCGGGTTAAAAAATTTCAATAATTAAAAAAAAACAGCATGGAACATGCTGTCAAATACACATTTTACAGTTTCATAATATTTAACAATTACATACTAAACAATCGTAGTAAAGCCTTGCGATGGACACCAGAAGACTGGCCATGTCAGCACATCGTTCGATGCCACAGTGCTGTGGGCAGGCATGCCTCCACACCTAATTGTTAATCCCCCATACACACCTTTCAAAAACATATAAACAAGAAGACAATTCACCAGCAGCACACATACTTTAAAAGGTGTTTCAAAAACAGTGCTTTCTTCTACAACATATATTGCGTCAAACCTAAAGTAGCTCTACCCACAAGAAGCTAATCAAAGAACATAACATTCTAAGCCTAGTGCAAAATTATGAGGGACAGCATGCAGCAGCATTTCAGAATTTCCCCAATATGACAAGAACCTGACACTTTGACTGGTAAGTGACACAAAGAGCAATCAGCAATACATGAATGTCAATTCCAAAATTTATTTATCACAACATTAGAGAAAAGCATCCATACATATAGGTATAAATAAGCAATAATGCCTGCGTCTTTCTCCAATACAGGCTAAGCCAATCAGCAATAGACATCTGAAATTTTATTCTACGGACTGACGAAAGAAATTCTGGTGCTTAAACACAATTTTTAAATTGGTTCAAATATTAGAAAAAAAGCAAAAATTATCAAATTAAATATTTTATCATTTATGAAGCAACACAAAATACAGAGTCTGTAAAGTCCATCCATCAAATAAAAAAAACATTTATGCTTGCATGCATTGCAGTGATGAAAGTGACGTTTTGATTTTTGGAGCAGATTTAGAGGCAGAAAAATGACGCTTCAAAGCAGCCATTCTTTCAATTCAGTGGGGTTGCTTTATTTCACTAATTGCATAAAAATATAATTGAAAGATGGCTTTAGCACACGGCAATACAGTGAAAGATGGCTACAAAACTAAAGCTTAGATACAAATGGGACATGAGCAAGTGTAGCCATCTAGTGCCAAAACACAACTAAAGATACGTCTAGTCTCCACCGGTTCCATGTGTAACTAATTTTTGATAATGATGAGAAAGCCATCAACGGTCATTTCCGTACGAAGTCTCGTGACTAGGAAAATCATTAATAGAAGCAAAAAGGTCAACAGATAAACTGGCTTTAATCATATGATATACAACCTATAAATCATCTGAAGTAATGAAACAAAAGAGTAGCACGCTATCAGATGCACATACACTGTTGTGTACAGTGAAAAAAAAAAGTGATAGTGCAGCCACTTACACTGCTTTTAAACACACAAACATTTGATGGGCCTGGCCAAACCATTCGTTAGAACAAATACATATATAATCTGCTTAAAAGCGAGCCATCCTTAACGAAGAACTAGAAAGTATTGAGTGTGCACTAGCTTATATGTTAATTCAAGAACACATTCCTCTCTTCATCAGCCATAGCTGCCCAAAAGAGAAATTCTACACATTACCCCCATGTCTCCCTCAAGACTGACACTTTTATTACCTTATATTTTTTTAAAGAAAAGTATTTACCAACATCGAATAGTGAATTGAATGAAACAGTATGGTCTATTCTATTTATATCCATATAGCTACACACAGCTGAAAAATAACAGAAAAGAAGGAGAGCCTTGCAGCGAAAGAACAGCGTGACACCACAAATTGAAAGAACTATCTTTTGCGTATGTATGCATGGGCCATTACGGCTCATAAGTGGTCAAAACTCGCTACACTATCAAGCTCTTTCACGGTACATTCTTGCATATTTTCATCAATGAACATCACCTACAGCCTAGCACACGCTATTAAAATTCATGACACAGCACTCCCATGTCTAAACTTCATGGCAGTGCTACTATCCACCTTTTCGTTTATTCTGACTCATTGACTCTCCTCTCTGGGTAGAAGTCCCCTTTTTTGTATTGCAGAAGGGTCACTTATTGACCAGGCTCAATGACTTTCCTGTTATAATATTTCCAATGTGTGTACATGAATGTTTCTCACACCCACCCACTTCAAAGCAATTAGTTAAATGAAAGATATAAGCCTCAATGGCCAAAAATAAACAAGGTATCCAAGTCGCACTTAGTATTGGCGGCTACACGAGTTGGTCTCTTCTGTAAAACAGAATTTTACTTATATTGCACAAATTTCTGGCTCCTCGAGGCCAAATGAGACTTGCTCATAGGAAAGAAAGAAGCAATGTAAATTATAGGTTTGACATGTTTCAAAAGTAAGGCTATCAAAATCCTAGCCTGGATGCACAAGAGTTGCAATAAAATGCATTTTTGCTTCTATGCTGCTTCTGCTAACGAAACAGCGTACCTGAGCTACTGACTAAATCTTAATACCATGGAGGCCAACTTTGAGCCCTGATCCCATCTTTTCTACATACCCATATATTGGGATTCGCAAATATAATCTGCACAAGTACGTTTTTCACTGCTCAAGCATAATGTATCACTGAGGGTGACAATTTTCCTAGAGGTCTGACACTAGGTTTACCATGTCACTTCAACAAAGTACAAATTTTACTAAGCTGCAAAGGCATGTGCTTATGCTTAAAACAGTCATCACACCATTTCCAAGTGCTTTATGTCACAATTATGCTTTATTTTCTGGTAATATTTTATCATGCCTTTCCAAGATAGGTCACCTCACATTACAGATAATTTATTTTACGGGAAGAAACCAAAGAAACAAAACTGGAAAACCTACAGGAAAGAAGGCATGTTGCGACAACTGTCCAGTTCAAGCACAATTGGGGGACTTTTCTTTTTTAGTAAAATGTTTGTACTGGTTTAGTGGCGTATGCATTTGAGTAAACCATATCCTCCATTGTACGATCGAAAGTTACTGGACGATAGTGAAAATAGAGCTGCCGCCTCACATCTAAAATAAACGCTCAAAGAGTTGACAAATTCATGTTGAAATCAGGCGCAACACTGTCATGCATTTGGACAGTCAGGCATTAAATTCTGCAGGACCAGGCACAATGCAGTAGCATGAATTCATCGAGAATTCACGAGTACTACGCCACACAAAATAAGAAACAGTGATGCGATTCACGAAGAAACTATCGGCTCTAATTGACATGTGATGAACGAGCAACCATACGTAATGTTTGTCAATGTGTTGGCAAATAAAATACAGCCATGTCATAGCTTGGTCATGAGACAGAAACACGTTTTCACCCTTTTGCCAGTTATTACCGATAACTACACAAGTCGGAGTCACCCGAGCACACACAATTGGAGTAAACAATCTCATCAAACAAACCTCATTCTTAATACGCAGCAATCAACGTGAAACTGCCGTGAATAAAAGAGACTCTAAGCAAACCTGAACAGGCAGTTACTAAGACAGTCTGCTCGACCTCAAGGAGAAAGTAATGAGACAAGTCATTTAGTTCGGCGGAAAGGGGAGCCTGGTATCTATGACATTACGAAACTGGCCTTGAACAGCTCGATCACACGAGGCCCTTTCGGGGCGAGATCGTAACGCCATCAATGGAAAACAAGGCGAAATCGTACAAGAACACAAAGGGAAAAGTATTCTCGCTAATCGTACTTGAGAAGGAGGCCTGCCAACAGTAAACTCCAGAGAAACACTTCCACGGCTGCTTCGTGTCGCAACCAACACAGGCACTGCCATTCATTCGTTTGACGTTGAAAACTCACCCTTTGGAAAGCTCCGCCGACGATTGCTCTTCGAGGGACATGGTGAGAATGCGCCCCTTATCCTCTTACGCTACGTCAAACAACGATTCAACAAGAATGATTTCGATGTTGGGTGCGAGACAGCGCACTTTCAAGCACTGCACTCGTAACTGCTCTCTTTCACTGCGGCTGGCGTTGCTCCGACGGCTAACGTGCGCTTTCAGACATGCTCACGCACGCGCACATACAAACTGCGTGGGTTTTCCAGAGTTGCCGGCGCTAAAGATATGACTGTGCACCACCTCGTCTAAATGGCGCTGCTAAACAAACGCGTTTCTATTTAATAACAATAGATTTCATTATTATAAAGTAGGCAAACTAACAAATGCTTTGGTTTTCGACTTACAAATTATGGAAGTTTTATAGGATATTTAAAAAACTTTAATTGATTGTAAGGAAAAAAAATACATCGCACATAGATTGGCGGCAAAATTGACAGTAAGATTTATTTTTCTAATTTTAAAAAAAGTGTCACTAACTTCATCAAAAGCTAAAGCGAATATTCAGAAGATAGTACCGGACAATCAACGGTTCAGAAGAAGCAGACATACTGTTTGCGAACAAGAAGGACACACCGCAGAGGCAAACCTACACAGAATAGGCGTGCAAGATGTCGGATGCGGCCGTCTTTTTTTTTTTTTTTTTCACAAACGTGAACTATGACAACCTTAAATGTGTAACCCTCGTTTATGATGACTACGAGCTCTCTATAGAGGCATCTAGACAACGTCACATCTACAAGACCAGGTTTGTATTGCAATTCTAAACCGCATCGTCTCCCTACCCTATCCATACTCCATTGTATTGTCAAGCATCCTTGCTGTGTAACTTCAAAATACGCATTGCGATCTCTTTTATGTGACTAGACTGAGTTTGAGCATGCGAAAATCGTTGCACCAATAGAATCTCTTGTTACGATAGGGTAGAAAGGATAAAATGCCACGTTGTTTTAGCGATCATCTAATATCGAATGCACTATACGTTTATCTAGAGTTTGTAAGCTGCAAATGAGGGTGTCGTCCTTGAGGCCAATTTACGTCTTCAAAGTGATTTCAGCAAACTATACATACAGCAACACAAATACGCATATCGTAGTCTTTCTTTTCGTTCGACAAGCCGACTTATGTTTCATACTCCTTACTGCTTCTTACGGCAAGTAATACAGGCGAACCCCTCGTTTTGCAGAGAATTTCTTAATCGCAAAAATATAAAGAAACGCACACCAGTTACATCGACACAACCAAAATATATTTAAAGAAGCCGCTGATCTCGCTCTCCTTCACGTTGCTTTCAAGGAGCTTGACGGCTTGAGCCTCGCAGCTTCGCAGGCTTTGCATGGCTTCGTCGTCGTTGTGGGCGTCGAGGAAAGTGCGAATGAAGTCGAAAAAATCAAGAATTTCACGCGAACTTACTCACCCTTATTTCGTTTTGCTGCTTTCTCCACTGTATTCGTCCCTCTCTGTGCACACTGCCCATGATGCATTCGCCAGGGGCAGCGTCAGTGGGGAATAGAGCCCCCCCCCCCCCCCTCTAGAATATCCGCCTGCTCAAATTTTGAAGAGGGGGGAGAGGGGACTTCCCCACAAGATCAAGTATAGTTAAAACAACGCATATGTTCCAAGGCTATCTGCCCCCCTGTGGGACCACACTTGTCGCGGGTGTCTCCGCAGTGAAAAAATCTTGGCGCCGCAGCTAACGTCGTCACAGAACTTTTCGCGCACGGTCAAGTCGGTGTCGGCACACAGGAAGTCGTGTGGTTCAACAGCATCTGGTATCGCTTACCGACACAGCGAAGCGCGGCGCGACCCATGCATCAGGCAGTGGCTTTAGATCATCACTGTTTGCACAAGAAACACCCGCTTCCGCCTCCGGCTCTTTGGAACTTCCCTGTTTCCAGCTAGCTCACGGTTTGAAAAAAAAAATGTTGTGGATCTCTACAGGGAACTTTCATCATTGCGGGAGTGTGTTTTTAAAATCTCTTCACTGTCGAGAGGGGGCAAATGCATTGAATATCATGGACGTTCAAGGCTCGCCGGGAACGACAGATTTATTCGTTGCCACGACAGTGTCGCTCTTGAGAGATTTCGTTATTGAAACGTTCAAATGTATAGGTCTAAATGAAAGCGCGATAATTCCATGCTTCTAAAGCTGCTCCTACTAACCCAGTGGTACTTAACGTCCTACTTATACAAAAACAAGAAAAGAAAAAAATAACATAAACATGGATACGTCTGCTTCAGATTGAACGCAATTACTGTTTTACAACCTAAAATATCGTACGTGTGGCGACAGAATGCGATGCTCTATTTGATTCATTTTTCGTCGAAAATGCTGAGGTTATTCGTTGACGAAAGTGGGCACTCCATCGGCATATGTTACGATGGCGCTGCCAGAGGAAAGAGGGAGGGGGAGGGGAGCGGGCCAACTTGGCTGAGTACGAATTGGTAAAGGCTACGCCGACCCTAAACCTACACAACATTGTAATGTCACGTCGCGAAGTCTTTGCTGGCTGCTGTAGTTCGAGTAATAAACAGAAGTTCTACAATGGTTAGCAACTGAAGGCGTCTGGCCACGCATACTTAATTTGTTTAATTTTGGATCTTCAAACATAGCGATAGAGAACTAGTGGAAGCATTTTTTCATTCAGTCAGACATCAATCTCTTTACATGAAAAAGAAGAAATCTTGTTTGAAAGGAATATGCCGCGCCTGCGCAGTTATCCGTAGCACAAAATTGTTAATCACGTCGACACGATCCTTCGCCGGGCCTCTGCGCATGTTCTGTGCGTTTTTATCTTATGTGTTCAGATAACTTGTATATTTCAATAAATTCTTCAGTTGAGAGTCAGCACTTGTTGATTGATTGATATGTGGGGTTTAACGTCCCAAAACCACCATATGATTATGAGAGACGCCGTAGTGGAGGGCTCCGGAAATTTCGACCACCTGGGGTTCTTTAACGTGCACCCAAATCTGAGTACACGGGCCTACAACATTTCCGCCTCCATCGGAAATGCAGCCGCCGCAGCCGGGATTTGAACCCGCGACCTGCGGGTCCGTAGCCGAGTACCTTAGCCACTAGACCACCGCGGCGGGGCAGTCAGCGCTTGTTTGTGTCTCTTCTCTTCGTCCCGCGAGTTTGTGCGCTGTTTCTGCCCATAATATACTTCATCAGGCAGAGTATGTAGTCAACCTACACGGAGAATTGTCACATTGGGTTTATATGTAAGTGATTTTGAGGTCACCACAATTTCTGCTCGAAAATACCAAAACTAGCTTGGTGATTCTGCAGAAGAGTACTGCGTGTTTCAAAGCAAAAAAGCGCTCGAAACCTGCCTCTCACCGTTCCTCGTGTTTGCCCATTTCCACTTCTCACTTCATTCTCTGCATGCGTGAAATATCACGTATTCGCAAAAGAATTCCAGAACACAATCACTAAATAAGCAGCTAAAACGCGTCGCAAAATCGCACATGTCTCCTCCTCTTTTACACAGCGCAGCAGGCAAGTTGAAGCGGCGAAGGGATATTCCTCGAACCGGAGGTACCGTAACAGACGACGCACCATTTTGCTATCCACATATTGACTTGCTCCATTTTCTTCCGTCTACGTCTTCCCTCCCGCTATAGTTAATGCAAATAGGTATTACTGCATGTAGGTGCGAATATTTTGAACGCGTCGCTTGAGGTGAACTTTACGCTGCAGCCACGGAACTGCAGGCATCCATATTGCCACGTTCCATTTCTCAAGTTTTGTTATCGCCCCAATACACTACACAATTCTCAGCGCAAACCGCGCCTGCAGTTTTCGAGAAGCTTCAGGACTGTAGTGGATCATTTCAATAAGATCTTGCCCATTCCGCGAACTGTACAGATTATTCTGGAACCTACGTCACCACCAGCGATAACGTTACAACATCCGATGCCAAGAGTATAAATACCGATGCACTTCACCGCTTGTCAGTAATTGATAGACGGCTGACGCTCCGTTCACTGCTATCCGTGCAAGACTGCTATTGTAATCAGAGTTTTCTTTTACCGGGCATAGGTTCGTGCAAATTAAATAGTTAAATCCCAACATAAAGTCTCCTGTCTTCAGCCACGTCACGACCCCATGACATCTGGTGGGGGTGCTGCTTCGTTCATGTATCGGACGCCCCCGTCAAGCTGTGAACCCAGCCCACGTCGCGGAGAAGACACCGACGCCAACCAGGAGAAGCGAACAAGCCGCCGACAGCAAGGTCTACCACCTGAGTACGGGCTTCTACAAGACAAGGCGCGGAAGACCAAGGCCATGACCTCGACTGCAACGACAATGACAACCACAGCGTCCCAGCCCACGATCGTCATGCATCAACCCAGGGTACCACCAACTTCCCATAGGTCATCGTTCGAAGACCCGGAGATCTGGCTAGAAACATACGACCGTGTGGCCGCCCTCAACCACTGGGACAATGAAGAAAAGCTCCGTCATGTGTACTTCTACGTGGAAGACACCGCAAGGACCTGGCTCGAGAATTGGGAGTTTACACTCCGAACGTGGGATGTCTTCTGCGGCGCATTCCTGCAAATGTTCGCGAGTGTAGCTCGCAAAGAGAGGGCCGCTGCTTTACTAGAGACCCGGGTTCAGCTGCCAAATGAAAATGTTGCCATTTTCACAGAAGAGATGACCCGCCTTTCCCATCACGCTGACACAGGCATGCCTGAGGAGAATAAAGTTCGTTTCCTCATGCGAGAGGTCAAACAGGAGGTCTTCGCGGGACTAATGAGGAACACACCGAACATCGTCCAAATATTTGTAGCCGAAGTGACCACTATCAAAAAGACCCTGGACATGCGCACCAGACAGTATAATCGTCGCCCGACTCCAGATTGCGCTGCTGCTCAAGCCATTGACTGCGAAGCCCTGCGTGAAACTGTCCGAGCGATCGTGCGGAAAGAGCTGCGCAAGCTGTTGCCTTCGCCGCAGCCTCAAATGGATTCGATCGCCGACATTGTTCGAGAAGAAGTTCAACAATCACTTCGAATTCCCCAAGCATGCCCCGCTGCCCGAGCCGGAAGCTATGAGCTACGGCACTGAAGTGCGCCACAACGCTCCTCCCCGCCCACGCCAAAATGCCGCCCCATCGCACTTCCGTCGCCAGACGCCACCACCGACGTCCTACCGTTCGCCAGCGGGCCAGCGCAGTGCGCCGAGGAAAACC